TAAGCATCCTTGTTCAGTTAAAAACTGCACAGCCCTCAACCCCAAAAAGCATCAGAAACTAAGGCTGTGTTTTGCCCAGTGAGCCTTCCCTCCAGCCCGCAACACTCGGCTACGTGACAGCATCTTCCCGACATCGAGTCTACCTACGTCTTCTGTATTTTGGTTGTTAGGCCTCGTAAAAACTAAAAATTACAACCTCTTCCTCCAAGCCCACTAACTCACCTCTATTTTAAAACCTCTGCCCAGATGTTACATTTATCCGAGTATTTCTTTACCCTCCTTGAAATTACACATCACTCTTGGGGACACACTACCAGGTGTGCCTTTGCTGGCTGCAAGCCCCCAGGTTAGCAACTCATTTAGTCTACAGTTTGCATCTGTAACTCTACATAACAAGGGTGAGGATCTCTATGTTGCTATGTTTAAAGAATTCACACACCAGGGCCTGCACTCTCATTGCTGGTAGCCGATTTAACTTTAGGAAAAACTCCAATAAAATCAAACAGCAGTGCTATTTTATAACACTGTTCTAACTCTGAATGTGGGAACTGAAAATAAAGCATATGTTTCTATTACAAAGAAATAAAGGCCATTTCTACTAAAAAAAAAAAAACAAACCTTTATAAATGGTAAAAAAAAAAAAAAAACACATCAAGACAACCTAGACATAAAACCCACACCGAAAAAGGGTGACGCCTGGTAGTCAATCTTGCCTCAAATGTGCTGAATGATTCTTTTCACTATCAAAGCCTGAACACAGAACCTATTACTCCAAGTTAATCTTCTGAAATGTATGCAATTTAATCCAATGCAGCACATATATATGTGTGTACTTGCTTGGCTGTATTGCTTGCTTGGAGTGGGAAACTTGCTATATTATGGCTGTGTCTGCACAGCCAAATGCTTCCAAATGTACTGCACAATCTGCTTAAAGAGGCTGAGGAAGGTGCTGAAGACAAGGCAGAAAATGCGAGGTTAGGAGTGCAGCAGGGTGACAGCAAACCAAGATCAAACATTTGGAAACATGTTCCTTCCATATAGTAGAGATAGGATGCTCCTCTGCACTTTAAGAACACAAGTCAGAATAGAGATAAACTGGATATTAACATAATTAAATTACTTGCTAATTACAAAGCACAAAATAGTAACTTTGCAGTACAGAAATCCAGTAGGCACCATCTTACCCAAATGACCCAAGTGCACCCACCATTGTCAAGACCATGTGACATGATGCACTGAGACACTCACAGCCTCCTGGTCTTCCTACCAAAGTGTATCACCCAGATCCAGTCACGAGGCCCTGGACAGATGCCATCGAGGGACAAAATAACTCATCTGTCCTCTTCAAAAATATCAAGGTCAAGGAAAAGGCTGGAGAACTGCTCCAGATTTTAGAAGACTGAAAGACATGGCAATTAAAGGCAACACGGATTGTGGGTCGGGGCTGAGAAGACTGACGTCTGCAGAGACCAATGAGTGCCCGAAACCCCCAGACACGCAGCGGCAGACCCGCGGCAGGGAAAACCCAGAGCTCTTTGCAGGACGCTGGGCCTGACGGGCCAGGGTTGAACTCCTGATCTCATGCATTTTAAAAATATTTTTAGCTTTAGCCTTAAACATTTTTTAAGTCAAAGCTTTTATTTTCTGCCACGAGAAACTGATATGCACTTAACCTTTGTAGATTTAAAATTCACACTTTTTAATATACACGAATAACCATAAAGACCCATGAACTTAACACTTTGTAAATGTGTTTACACATTTATACTAACATGAGTCAAAAAACAAACTCATGTTACATGGTTTATGGAAAAACAAAAAAGCTAGTGGGTAAGCCTAATCAACCATCCACTGTGGATACACAAACAATAGAAATTTTAGCTTTGTGGGCATAGGAAATAATCCCACCAAAAAAACCAACTGGTTATACTAGTAAGAAAATGAATGGTAAATGTAATGAATCTAACCAAAAGTGCATGATGTTCTTAACTAAAAATTGAAGCTAGGCTTGCCTCCATTTATTTGGTAGAGGAAATCATACAATCCCAGTGACACACTCATATCTGAGATTCCTAAAATTCCACATGTTCTTGTAAATGATGAGGGTCTATCAAACTTTTGTTTGTCCTAAAATATACATTTCATTTGGGAGAATCATTCTTGTATGATCATCCTTTTTTGTCTTTCTGTGACAGTTAAAATCAGACTAAACTAAGCATCAAGGAAAACACTGAGAGGAACAAGTTACCAAAAAAAAAAAAAGAAAGTGGAGAGAATCCAGGGGATGGAGAAGTAGACTCTCCATTACAGCTGGTGATGCTGGAAGATTCCAGGATTATGAATTGAGGCAAATAAAAAAAAATGCATGCACACAAATGATTCAGGCCTAAGTATCCACTTATTTATCTTAAAAATTACTGAGCACAGTCCATATGCCAGACACTGTCCTAGGAGACCCAGCATGCACAAATCATGGAGAAATATTACAGCTGAGAGAGAGTGGAGATAAGTGATCATAAATTAATTTTAAATATAACATGAGGCAGTATGAAGAGCTATGAGGAAAAATAAAGCAGGACAAGAAGACGAAGGGACAGGGAGAGAGCCCCATCTGAGAAGGCTTCTCTCCGAGTGCAGGGGGGCCCTCGGAGCTGCCGGCAGTGGGGGGAGGGAGCAAGGCCCTGCAGGTCAAGGCCCTCAGGGCCCAGTGTGTGCAGGCCACTGGTGTCCAGCTGACGTAGACATCTGATTGAGACAGGCAGCCAGGAGAGGATTCCCAGCACAGGAGCACAGCATCATTTATGTTTTGGCTACAAAGTAGAAAGCCATCATTAGAGAAGCAAGAACAAAAACAGGATCAGCTGGAGGCCCTACAACAGCACAGGCAAAGGTGGAGGTGGGGCGGGTTGGGGCCAGAATAGCAGCCGTGGAAAAAGGACTACGTTGTCAAATTCTGATTATACTTCGAAAGAAACCTGACAGGACTGCCGAGGAACTGAATGTAGTGTTTTGATGGAAGGATAAAGCCCAGAATGACAATACAGCTTTTACCTTTATCCACCGGTGACTACAAGTACATCTGCTAACAAAGAGAAGCCTGAGGAAGGGGCGAGTGTAAGGATGGTGAGAAGTTAAGACTCTGATTTGATATACATTAGGTATAAGGTGCCTATTAGTCACAAAAGTAGAGGTGACTAGTGAGTGACCAAATATGCAAGTTCTGTGGAGAAGTATTAATAAATGTAACCCTGCCCTGGCTGGTGAGGCTCACCAGGGCACATGCCTGGGTTGCGACGCAGGTCCCCAGTAGGGAGTGCGTGAAAGGCAACCACACATTGATGTTTCTCTCCCGCTCTTTCTCCTTCCCTTCCCCTCTCTCTAAAAATAAATAAATAAGCGCAATAGATAAACAGAGATGCAGATACAGATTTAAGAACTGTACATGTGTATGTGCACAGAGACGCACGATGAATGAAAGTCCCAGAAGGAAAACACGGACATGGGAGCGGAGAAACTGGAACACGGCATCCACTTCGGCACCATCTGAAAACACGCTAAAGAGAATGCATTGCTTTAGTGATAGAAAGGGGCATTTCTTTTGTTTCCCCCCCCAATAAAATAATAAGCTGATGAAAAAAATTAAACTCAGAAGTACAGAGTTAACTTAAGTCTGTGAAAACAACTGTCAAAGACAACCACCGTTAACTGTGAATTACTTCCTCCCAGACTTTTTCCCCTAGACACTCACACACAAACACGGCCCAGTTTTTGGAAGTACAGTTCATTTCTGCCTATTTTAACACACACGTAATAGGCTGAACTCAAAAGTGGCAGCCATAAAATTCCTTTTTGTTTTATTTGGTTTTGAATTTATGTTTTCATGCTTTTAGTGTCACTGACCTGGGACCCTGCCTGGCACCTGGGGACATCTGCACTTTCTGTCCCTGCTCCCCAGAGCTTCCTGGCTGGGGCCTCCCCGACAAAATCATAAGCATGTTTTCATTTCATAAAGAATCATTTGTAAACCTAATTTTTAAATAGAAGTATTTATATGTAACTCTCTGTGCACATTTCTAATGTAGCGCGAACCATTTACAAAGAGGTTTTAGCACCACCTCAAGGAGTCGCTGTCTAGTTACCAAAAGAGTGAGACTGACTAAAAATACTTCTCCTTCGGTTCATTCAATAAATACCGACCATGAGCCAGTGTGCATGTGTGTGTGTATAAGGGGAATGACAGACACAAAATTTTTAGTGAACACAAGATAATTTCAGTTAGTGAAAGATGCTGTGAATAAAATCACAACACCTGAGACATACTAGGAGGAAAAAGAGAGGAAGTGCTACTCAGCTATGTGTCCAGAGAAAAACCTGCTGAGGAAATGACATAGCAGCCAAAGGCTCGGTGAAGAGAAGAGGTACACAAGTGTCCTGAAGAGCAGCCCAAGTTCAGGGAGGGGAAATGCAGGAGCCCTGAGAAAGAAAGGAGCATGGCACGTGAGAGGATGGAAGGAAGGCCATCTGGCTGGAACGTCTTAGGAAGACGGGTCAAATCACGGATGCCCTCAATGGCCACAGCAAAGAGTCTGGACACTCATTTTAACTGTCATAAGAAATTATCGTAAAGTCATAAATAGGGATATGAAATGATCTGATTTTGGCTTAGTGATCAGTGTGGCAATCGTGTAAGGAGAACAGTAAAAGCAGGGAGACCAATTAGGAAACTGTATCCAGCTAAGAGATGCCAGAGGCTAAAACCAGCATGTCAATAATTATAGTGCTGGACGTATCTGAGGGAATACAGATAGAGCCTGCCGACTGAATCGGGATTCTGGGACTGGGTAAACAAGGACCAGCTTCTCTAGCCACACTACACGACTCTTAGCTGTACCATGAACTTCATCAGACTCGCCTTGCTGGGCTGCATCCAGAGGGTGCAGGCAACAATTACCTGCAAAATCAGTAACAAAACATACAGTGTATCATACTCTCTCACTTACCCAAATTGGGATCAGTAGCCTGGCGTTTCTTAATTTTCGCTTCCGAAATAGCAGAATAATAGGCACAAGTCATCTTGATTAGCCATGTTGCTCGAACCATTGGCACTGAATATTTAGCTAAATATGCAAAAACATCTTCTTTTTTACTAAGGATGGGAACCTAAAAAGAAATAATATTTATAATAATCACATACTATGTTCACCATTAGGCAAAAAAAAAAAAAAAGCCTGTAAGTTCCTTCTTGTTATAAGAAAGTATACCCTTAAAAAAAAAGTGTATCTTTAATGGATTTTAAACCAATTTTCCCTAAGAAAAAAATAACTAAAACCATGTTGAACATGTTGGCAACACAAATCATCAGCTGTACTGGAACTAAGAAATTGTCTGCGCCCTAACTGGTGGGGCTCAGTGAGCTGGGCATCATCCCGCAAATCGAAGATCACCAGTTCGATTCCCAGTCAGGGAACCTGCCTGGGCTGTGAGACAGGTCCCCAGTTGGAGATGTAGGAGAGGCAGCCAATCAATGTTTCTTTCCCCCTCTTTCTTCCTCCCTCCCCCCTCTCTCTCTGAAAAATAAATAATTTTAAAACATTTAAAAAATGATTTGCAAATATTCAGATGCTCAGAGCTACTCATCATATCAACGAAATAGAACAAATAACTTTATGACAACCCTGTGAGTTCACCTCAAAATCGGAACAGACAGATCAAGTGAAAAAACTGCCCCCAACTCCACACTTTATCCAAGAACACGTTTTTGTATAAAGCTTTGTAAATGTACCATTTCATAAAAATTAACAATTTCCATAAAGCTTTTAAAAGTGCCTTTAGCCAAAAATTTAAAATAGAGGCTAAAATAACTGATTGGTGAATCTGCCTAATAAACACTGAGCTAGAAATAGCTTGGGTAATTAATTCACTGATGGAAAGTAGACACTTGGGGCAGTTAATTATTTCCTCCAGACCACAAAGGTACTATTTAGCAAATTAGTATCCCCATGCACCACCAAATGGTTCGAAAGAGTTAATTCACTCTTGTAGAATGCCGCATAAATACCCTAGGACTAGCCCGCCCATCTACGTATAATCTACTGCCGAACACAGGGGAGTCGTGGATGGAGCCTGCGGGCTCGGCGGCAGCAGGACCACAGCAGGGACCACACCCTCACAGGAGGCCTCGGCCTGTGTGGTTAGACCCGCCCTTGCCGGGCTCTTCACCGGTGAGCGTGCTGATGCCCGGCCCACCTCTCTGAGAGGTTGGAAGGGCAAAGCAAAAGAATTACATGTTCAGCAAAAGAATCAACATTATAACCATTTTGTTTTGTTACCAGTTCTGAAGATTCTTCCAGGACGGCCACTATTTTCAAGCCATGGGCTTAGCCCTTTCCTGAAAGGATCCTAACCCCCACAACCACCGGCATCTAGAGCCGCAGTCTCTATGCCCCACGCTCCTGTCCAATTCTAGGTTGGGAATCAAGGCTTCGGACCACCTAACTGACCCACGCAGCACAGCATTCTTCTCTCAGTTAACCAAATCCTCCTTTAGTCAGTGGATTGTTTCCCATCATACACATGTCATAAATTTGACTACTCACATACATGGTCCAAAGTGTGATCCCAGAATTAAAAGATAAGTACTTTTTATAAAACAAAGCAAAGTCACCTGATTTCACTTGACATCATCTGGTTCTTATAAAAGTAACATCAAGCTGCTCTAATACTGAAGGAAAAGCTAGCTGGCGGCAACGCCAAGATCCAGGGCGTCGATCCAGTGTGCATTATGGGCACTGTAATAGACTTTTGATCCTCTGTAGTCCCTGCCTTGGGTGCAGACTTCAGAACAAATCTCCCGTGACAGGGGCAATGACAACCGTCCAAACCCGACTGAAAGGGAGATGAAGATCGCACAGGCCAACGCTTTAAAGCTTCCTTTCTGCAGACCACAGCCATACATTTTAACAAGAAAATTTCTTGAAAATTTAGGCACAGGTTTCATGGAGCACAAGGCTCTGGGTTTACTATCGTTTAAGTCAAGGACAAGAGAAGCAAGGGCTTAACTACTCAGTTCCAGACCTACTCTGCTGCTTTTCTTTTTCACTTAGAACATTCAGTTTTGTGTCGAAGAGTCAATTTTCACCACGGCCAACAGGAGGCTGCCTCTTAATCAGACACACCATAAAATCATCATGCCAAGGCCTAAAAACTTGGCAAATGCCAAAAAGGGAAGTTAACATCACCAAAGAAATATTACTAATACTATCTTTTACAAATGCCTGAAGGATTTCTTTTGAAAAGCAATTGACAGGAGGAAACAAAAAAAACTCTTTGAACATGTGAAATGTTTAGATGAAATAACAAACAAAACTGAGCCACAGATCTTTCGGTGACAGCAAAAGGCAAACCTCCAGCTCAGCTCGCTGCTCCTGTGGCAGAGCCCTAGGAAGGGGCTCGCTCAGGTCGGGTGCCTCAGAATTCAGAAGAACACACGTGAAGAAAGTTGTCTGATCAAGGAAAAGACACATATCGATGGTTTTGTGAAATTTCCACTTAGGGCCAACTCTACAGTTGGAAGAGGAAAACACGTTTACCCTGACTGCAGTATGACTTCCTTAGAGTGGTGGGTTCTATTTTCAGCAGGGAAACCATTTGACTTTAAATTGTAGCTGGACATAGGCAATCACTGGCAGCTGTCTGTTGTCTAAATCAGGCCAGAGCTTCGTTTAAGTACCAAGAGAAAACTCAGACACCTAGTACATGATCCTTCTCCATCCTCGCGTCACCGTGCCCCTTGGGTGCACATCACGGCAGTGTCCCTGTCCACTGAGCACTGGCACAGGCAAAAGGAAGCCCCACAGGCCACAGTAATCAGAGTCACCTCAAGTGAACACATGACAACCAGTGAACTGTTCAAGAGCTAGAAGGATATCCCTAGGGGCCAGAAGTCTCCTTTCCCAAATCCAGCCATGACGCTGATTAAAAGGCCCTTTGCAGGCCACTGTTCACCCCTCGTGGCTACATGCTTGGGGTGCTGTGTAAACCTGATCCATCCCACACTGGAAACGATTCTGAATCCTTGATCAGAGCTGGGAGATGACTCGGGAGCTTAGCAGGAAAATTCAGATCTTCTGCATTAAGCCATCTCACAGAAAAATACCAGAAATTAAAGAAGTATTTAAACTCTAATTTGAAGAACATGCGAGAATGCAATCTTACACCCAACTCGGAAAGACTCCACCATCTCAAGAAGATGATATGCTAAAGAGGGGGGACGTGGGGGACAAGCTTTTGAAACACCCAAGAAATGAATACTTCAAAGTATAGACAATGGTTGTAAGAAGAATATATCTTTAACTTTGCAAGAAAAGTAATGTCAGGGCTTACCTGAGCAACACCTGACTTGGCCAGAGGCAGCTCCTAATAAAGAAAGAAGAACAACAGCTAACACACCGTAATTCATCCCCTGCCTGAAAGATGAGACCCCTACACCCCTGAAGCAAGGACATCAACTCCTCACCAGGCTTCCCTTTTAGGAAATATCCACAAAATGCATTCCAAAAGCCTTTTAAAAAGAAACCCTAAAAGCAAAGTTGTCAGGTTGGCCACGTGGGAGTTGAAGGCACTAATCAGCAGGGACTGTGTGGACTATTGTTAGAGAGCCAACGAATATCAAAGGCTGCCCTTTGACTTGCACAGGCCCTCAAGTACCATTCATAGGCCACGGTGGGCCCATGGGGTACGTGTTCCTCACAGGAAAAGAAACGCCACAGGGCTCAGCCTGTTCTAAGACAGAGGCACTACCTGAGTAGAAAGAGGTGGGTATGCTGACTGCTGTGCTTTTCAATGACTTGGTTGCCACTGAAATCTATGAAAGGCAACACAATGCTATGACACTAAGGCAAAATGAAGGCAATGGGAGCTATGTGTACTCTTTTCAAAGCGCTGCTTTAGAAAACAAACAAGCAACTACACAAAGGAGCTCTCCTCTGAACTGGGCCTGCACCAAGCCAAACAACGAAAACCTAGTATGAGGAACAGAAGAAGGGCACCCCTAAAACTGAAGGGTTTCAGGGGAGATGAGAAAGACCCGTGGGATTACCTGAAAGGTCGGCAAGAAGTTAGAGATCAAGACAAACAGGGAGGTTTCTAGCTCTCTAAATTTCAAAAGACAGTTCATATTGTTAAGACTGTTGAATCTATGTATTATTTCCCACTTAAGGCAAATGACCAAAGGCAAAGATTTTATAAGAACCCTCCCTCCCACCCACCACCCACCCTGCCAAAAAAAGCCAGGGGCTATAAGTAAGCCAGCCCATTTTGCTCTAAAACTTTTTCAAACAAGTTTTTCAAACACACACAGAATCACTATCACTATCTTTAACCTATTTGCTAGAGAGGAGACAGCTTAAAGCATTTGAATGGTTACTTTTTGAAGCAAGGAAGTAACATCAAAGCAAAGATTTCTCCATAACACACTCTGGACATCCTGGGTTAAGAAAACTGAGAGTATAATAGAGTCATACTGCCTGCCTTTGATTTAAAAACCTGTCTACCTAAAGCCACATAAACTGCTCCCTGTGCAGACTGTTTAGGTCTATGAACGTCCTGGGCACCACATGCCATCAAAATGAAGAGGAAAACAGCATATGTGCAGCACACACCTGGTGCAGTATACCTGCACTGAGGCTTTGAGTTCTGGAGACAACTGGGGCAAGGAAATATATTCTTGAACATTATTTCAAATCTTCATTTCTGTAACACCATAATTAAAACAATGTAAGGAAAACTTCATACCTTTTTTGCCAAAATAGCAAGTGGTTTATTTCCTGCTAAGTCGGAGAACCAACTATGAATTGCACTCTGCGATCGAGCAGTAACCAGCCAATAATTATCTTTCGCATTAACTTGTGGCTTCTTCTTCCCGGTGTCCTGGAAAGTGTTCAGCTTTAATTTCTCAGCTAATATGCTGCTAAAATAAGCTCCAATCTGAGGAAACAAAAGACAAAAAGTTTGAAGACAGTAAGTACATTAGTAATGTATATTAGCATTTTATTTTTATCATTTTAATCAAAAATCTTCCAACAGCCCAACAGAAAATAAAATGGCAATTTCAGTTCTAGAAATCAAGAGTTGTGACTTCCTTGTGTTAACATAATGCAAAAACTCCCACAGTACCTTTGTTCTACTATTAACAAGTAGATCAAAAAAAAATGAAGAGCCTTTGGAAATCTCTGGTAAAGTGAAATTAATTACATCCTAAATAAATGTCAAGAAAATGGGTTCTGCTTTAATCTTCAGCTGTACTTTCCTTTTTCATATTACACACCCATTTGGAAAGTATATTTTCCCTGAGAGGTACTGCAGAGAAAGCCTAGTAATCAATCACATCGTAATCATTCTTTTTCTTGTTTCCTCTTAATAGCATGTATTTTTGGAAAGGAAACTCTGTATTTACACTCAGTGCTTTTTAAAAAGAGTCTAGAGAAATTTAATTTATTTAAATGGAAAATTACAAGAGTCAATTAAATTAAGTAATCAACATTTTTGATTGGGCTGCCAATTTCATGAGTACAAGTGTTTCAAGAGAAAGCTACTGTTACCTGCTCTAAATGGAACAAGGCATCAAAGGGAGCTTCTGTGAATTACTGTAGCATTTTCATATTAACCAGATCAAAAGGGGACAAAGGAAGGAGAAAGACAACAAGGAAGAAGTAATATCTAAATATTAAATAAATCCACAAAAAACCTCTTGGAATTTCTGAATCCTATCAAAGTATCACATGTCAATCCCTAGGAATTCTTTAATACGTAAGTTTATCAGTAATAGTTCCTAGTAAATGTAACCTCCAATAAGGTTAGCAGACAGTGGTAACCATGACTAAAACAAAATACCTACTCTGGTGAAGCAAAATATTGGCTTGGCCAAAAGGTCCATTTAGTTTTTTCCGTAAAACAAAAGACACGTTTTTCATTTTCACCACTAACTTTTTGGATTTGAATATTTTGAGTATGTCAGCTATCTCCTGCTATTGGCTTGTAGTGGGTAGAGGCCAGGGGTGCTGGTGAACATCTTCCAGTGCATAAGACAGCCGAACAGTAAAGAATTATTTGGCCCAAATGTCAATGGTACCAAGAAACTTCACAAACCACTTCTGACATGTTTGATCAGTCACAGCACCTTCTCCATACACCACACAAATCTTTTTTGCATTTCAGTTGCATTTTTACCTTTCCTGAAATAATAAAGCATAATATGCCAAAAATGTATATTTTTACGTCTTCAAATACTGCATAAAAATTCACTAATTTTGAAGTTGCTTTTTTCTAATGCACACTGATATGACAGCTGTCACAATATGATCTAACAAAATTGTTTCGAAAGAAGTTAAAGACAACTAAACAATATGAGAGCCATCGTATGGAAAAAAAACTTAAATAGACTTTCTGGCCAACCCAGTAAGAATCACTACTTAGTTAATGATCATGAGTCAAACAACTGGTCTATAGCCTTAAACGGTTGTAAGCAACTAGCCAAGTTTATTATCTACCAGGGTGAAAAGCTAGTGCTGAAGAAAACATTTCTAATGTGCCTTATAATTCCTTAATCCTTGTGATTAATGTACAATAAAAAGGAAGTCTGTTTTTGGTGTGTTGATACAAAATGGTAATAAAACTTAAGAGTAATTACCAAAAAAGTCTAAGCTTTAGTTTTAAAAAAAACTTCAGCCCTGGCTGGTGTAGCTCAGTGGATTGAGCGCGGGCCTGGGAATCAAGCAACCACAGTTCGATTCCCAGTCAGGGCACATACCTGGGTTGAAGACCAGTTCCCAGCAGGGGACACACAAGAGGCAACCATACATTAATATTTCTCTCCCTCTCTCCTTCCCTTCCCCTCTAAAGATAAATAAATTTAAAAAATCTAAAAAAAAAAACTTCATATTTTTTAAGCAAATATTTACATAATGCCCAAACAGATTATATACTAAATAAATGCAAAAATTTAGTAAAAAAAAAAAAAAAAAGTTGTTTAAAAATAAGCCACTAATAGTAACAAATTGTTTAATTTTAAATTTCTCAATCAATGTTTGGTCTTTGAACAAAGGGCCCAAAACACCTACCTACGCAAATTGTTTTACATTTATTTGCAATTATGTATGAGCAGTTTAATTGCAACACAGGCATAAATTATTATTTTAGAAAACCAGCCTGAGAAACCTGCTTTACAATCCTACTCTCCTCCACACACGACACAGCAGCGAGCAGGGTGGCTGCGCATTACGAGCCTGGTGAACCACCACACACTGGAAACAAAGTCGAAATTTCCAAAAGAAGCGAGAGAATAAAATGCACGCTAGGACTCAAAAGAAAAAAAATCCAAACATGGTCACACATTTCATTTTATTGTAACAGCAATATGTTCACATTATTCCAAAATCAAAAACAAAGGGAAGAGCCTCAATCCCCAAGTCCAATGCCAACCACCAAGCAACCAACTGATTCTTAGTTTCTCGTGGCTTTCCAGTGTTACTTTATGTGAATACACGCAAACACGAGAATTATTATGTTTTCTTTCTTGTATGCAAACCTTCTTCTGGACAATCAATTAGTAAACGCCCGAGAGCCTTTCACAGGAGTGTCCTCATCCACGTTTACAGACACTGTGTGTGGATGGACATTTTATGGAATCAAGCACCGGTGTTAATGGACACTTGGAGTATTCATTCCAAACTTGCTATTACAAATCCCCTTAAAATGAACAGCATTCCCTATTTATTATTTCATACATGTGCAGCTATAGCTTTCAGATAAATTTTCAGAATTCAGATTTTATGATTCTTTAATTTTAATCAATATCGATAAATTGCCCTCCATAGGGTTTATACCAATTTGCACTCTCTCAAGACAAGGTATGAGAGATAAGGTTTAATTTAAAACTTGTTTCCATCCATGCAGAGCTATTTTAAAAATCACTTATTCAATAAGAAAAATGGAGCAAGTTGAGGGGCTACACTCTATAGCTTACATATTTAATATTTATAAGATCAAATTCCCTCAGAAGGTTTGATTCTTGAGTAAATGTCACAGGAGGGTGATACCAGCAGAACTTACTTCTCATGGGTGATAGTTCTATTGTTATTTAAATTGACACAAAACTCCATACAACTGAGAACTATTTGGCAGTTCACATGAAGGGACAAAACATTCATATTCTCTGCTATGAACTAAATTGTGTTTTCCCAAAAATGCAGATGTCGAAGCCCTGAAGCTCTGACAGTCTTCAAGAATTGGGCCTTCAAAGAGGTAATTAAGGTTAAATGAGGTCACAGGGTGGGGCCCTCAAGACTGGGGTCACTACGGGAAGGAGAAGAGACACCAGTGATGCAATCCAGCTGGGATGCACAGGCACAGAGAAAGGACTCCCTGCAAGAGGGCGGTGTGTGCCCACCACGGAGACAGGCCTCTGGGGATGCCAGACCTGCTGACACTTTGATCTTGGGCTTCCAGCCTCTGGAACTGTGAGAAAATACACTATCTCAGAAAACCAAATTTCTGTCCTTTCAGCCGCCCAGTCTGTGGTATTTTGTTATGGCAGCTCTGGAAGACCAACACACCTTCTGAGGAAGCATTCTTCCAGGAATTTATCCTAAAGAACAAAAGCTCTATGTTCAACTATGACTCCAACATCTTTATTAATAATCATAAGAAACTGGCAATTGTTATAACAAGCTAATTGTTATAGCTTTGATCCATTTTAGTACATAAGTGATGAAATGTTATCTATCCATTAATTGTTATTAATACAAATACTTCAGCCTCGAAGACAAGTACATACAAAAAATGTCTCATTTTTTGAAAGTATATGTTAGGGAAGGTGGAAAAGTATCAGATGGTCGTGACAGTTGCAGACCCATGTGGAATGTACCTAATGCCAAAGAACTGTATACTTCAAAATGTTGAAATGGTCAATTTTATGTTATGTTTATTTTACCACAATAAAAAAAGCAGAGCACAAATTACAACTTATATCATTGTGGTTGTAGCATTTTAAAAAGTGGCAAGATTGGAAAAAGACAAATGCTTCTACCTTCTTTCACACCGTGTAAATACTTCGGTTGACAGTTTAGAGAGCTGTCAATCACATATGTTTGTGTGTACATGTGCACACATAAAAAGAGATGTGGAATGATACATAAACCTTTAACAATGGCTACCTCTGGGGAAGAAGGAAAAAGTATAGACACTTGTCTCTATGTTCGATTTTTTATGTACATGCACAATAGTTTCAATTTAATAAAAGTATTTTAATATTTGAAAAATAAAAATAACTTAAAAATCAAACCTTAAAAGACTACGAACAGAAACTAATACTTCTGTCTATATATCAAATTATTAACATAACCACACAGAAAAAAATTTTAATTCAGAAAAATTTTAACACAACATTCTGACTATACATTTTTTCAAATAATTTTTATTCTTCAAATTTGTTGTTCATCAGGAGTGACAAAAATAAAAATATATAATTGAGCCCCATCATCATGGAAAGGGCTCTAAAAGAAAACTGGTCAGATGAATATTACTTCTTTCCATTTTCAGCCAGTGATAGCCAACAGTATGTCAAGAACACTCAAGATTCATCACATAATACAACATGCCTGTTCATGAGGTTGAGGGGGGCAGAGAAGGAAGACTAAAGAAATAATTTATATAAATTTCTTTCTTTCTTAATTTTTTTATATTCGCCCAAGGACATGCTTATTGATTTTAGAGAGAGGGAAAAGGAGGGAGAGATAGAGGCAGGAAAACATCAATTGGAGAGAGAAACCCGTTGCCTCTCCTACGCACCAGACCAGAGACTGTTCTCTGTGGCCAATTTGGACAACCCAGACATGAGCCCTGACCCAGAATTGAACCTAAGACCCTTCAGTTTACAAGACTACACTCCAACCAACTGAGCCATACCAGCCCAAACTATGTGAACTTCTTGATTTCATCATGCAAGACAAGCACAAAAGCACCAGTGCTGCCTCTGAGAACACTGGACCAAGCACCCTTGAAAACAGCTTTGCCTCTCCTTCATCACAAGCAATCTGCCTCCAGCAGTCAAACGTGCTTGTGTACATGATATCAGTTCATTTGCACCCTGAGTGCTTCATCACACAGCAACAAACGGTGTCAAGCAGATAGGAAGTCAACCCAGCCACAGCCGTGACAGACTGTGCATCCCCCAGCTAGTGAAGATAAGAGTATTCTTGGGACCTGGAGCATTCCCTGTGCAGCGTCACTGATACGGAAGTGGGCAGCCCAGTATGTGATAATATCCTGTACAGACACATTGAAACCTCTGTACAGGCCCTCAATCCCATCAGATTTGTAGACCTTAACCAGGCAGTCACTGAGGTCTTTGAAATCCCTTTCAGCTCCAGCTTTGATATGCAAAATGCAGAGCGGTGGCCCCAGAGCAACCACCTGATGTCAGATTCCCTGCAAAGTATCACCAGAACTGGGTTCTCTAGTGCTCCCCACCCAGGAAGATCCACTTGTATTTATCTCTGAAAGCAAAGTTGAGAGCCTGGGTGGGGAAGGATCTGGTTACCAGCCAGAAGGACAGGACTGCCTGCCGTTGGGGATAGGAGCCAGGCAGAGTATACTGCCCTTGCATGGCTTATCCGCTGGGATTTGCTTGCTGACATGCTGCACCTGCAGCAGCAGCAGCAGCCTGACTCACTGGATGGGCACTACCACCATCCTGGATATGGCCACAGCCACTGCACCTGCCAGCAAGTCCTTGGCAAAGGACACTGTGGCATCTATCATGTGGATGGAAAAGAAGAGGTGGCAACTGCAGGGCTGGGCTTGTCAGTGCTGGGACTCTGGGGTTCTAGTTGACTCTATACTGTTAATAAAAGTAAGTACTGTAACGACAAAAATTATTGTAGAAAAATGGAAAATTTTACCTAGTAATTTTTTGAAGATATTAGTATAATTTATTCTGAAACTTTTTAAGTGTATTGCAAGAAAGAGTAAATGAATAAATACGTTGATATTGCTGAAAGGCAGGGTTCTCACTTTAGGAGAAAGGAGATAACAAAGATGAAACAGGAAAAGGTCCTGTGACATTGAGGGAAGGACAGAAAAGAGGGGAAAGAGGATAGGAGGAAAGGGAAACAAAGAAACAAAAAAATCAAAACATGTTTCCATCTCTGTCCACTGAAAGGGCCTAGAAGTTATGATGCTCTAGTAGCAAAGACCATGCCAAGCATGCAGACTGGAGCTGGCACAGGGAAAGGACATGAACCTGGAATACGTTATTGTATTATACGTCCAAGTAAAGTGTTTAAAAAAAAGGACCCAAGAGCCAGGTTAAAGGCACCCCCACTGCCCAAATATAAGACAATTTCAGTATCAAAAACAAAAATAAAAATAAAAATAAAAATAATACATAAGATTTTAAAAGGAGTCCAGGAATTAAAAGTGATACCATGATCCCTCACCTATCACAGGAGTTACTTTCCACAGACCCCCGCGATAGGTGAAAATCCGCAAAGTAGCGGTGTTATATTTATTTTATTACCTCTATATATTTTAAGGCTTTATAAACCCTTCCCACACACCTATTAACCTTTCCCACTCTCTTATTAACCTGTCCGACACTCTTATGAACACCTCATATGCTCTTAAACACTTTCTACACTCTTAAACCTACGTAATTTTAACAACATATAAACTTCTATACGGGAACTCACCAGTGAAGTATACAGTCGTCCCTCACTATAGCACCGCTCACTCACTGCGGCTCCACTGTATCATGGGTAAATACAATGAAGCCGCAATAAGTGAGCGGCGCTATAGCGAGGGATGACTGTACTCCAAAATGGGATGTCCTTCACAAAAGAATGCCAAGTAATAAATGTATGAAAAATAATAACTGCTAGAAAACTACCATTTTGCATTCCTCAGCGAAATATATCATTCAGCGGGAATTACCAATTGATGCTAAAATCACAGGATGAAATTTTATTGGAGCGTAGGATATTCACAGGTTCTCCAAGTGTCACCACACAGAGGCCACTACAAGAAAACACGACCACTGTTACAACGTAAAGAGATGGCAGCCACCACCTGAGGGGACCAGACTCAGCCTAACTGACAAGACGGCAAACTGGCACTGTGTGTTTTCTGATGTGGTGCAATGTAGTCCTTTTACCAAAAGTGTTCAACCTGAATCCTGTCAGGAGGAAACAACTAGACAAATCTAGAACAAAGGACTAAAATATGAGATAAGCAACTGGACTGGACTCTCCTAAAATGGCAGTCCTGAAAGCTCCCCAAATCAAAACCAAAACGAGACCCTGCAGAGCGTGCTGTACGAGATTAACAGGAAGTACAAAGACAAGACAACCAAACACAATGCACGATCCCCAACCGGATCCTGGTCAGGACAGTTTATAGGATATCTGGGGGGACTTGACTGTGGATTGTCGTTTAAGTAACAGTAATCACCATCAACAACCAAGGGTGTCACACACACACACACTTTCACAGAAGTTTGGGACACAGACAATTAGCATACCTTTGACGGGTTAATTACAATATTTCTGGCTGAGCCATGTTCATCTCCAGTAAAGGCTGGCTGATTGTTGAAGCCTTGCTTTACATTCACAGCAGTGAGTTCATCCTGTTCAAGAAAAGGTATTGATTAATCAGAAGGATGTAAATGCTCCGACTTACCCCTCATACTACAGCCTAATGATTTTCCTACACTTTGTAGAAAAGAACTGTTGAATGCACATCAAAGACGGCAAAACTTAAAGTTTGAAACCCAATGCATAAACGCGTAGCGAGAGATGAAACAAATGTGGCAAAATGTTGGCAGCTGCTGACTCTAGCTATAGGGATATGGGTGTTCGTTGCACCATTCTTTTAACTCTTCTGCAAGTTTGACATTTTTTAACTAACAACTTAGGGGGCGAGGGAGCAAAAAATTCCTCCCCCCCCCCCCACAGACACATAAAATCACAGAATTTTTAAACTACTGGGTCGGCTAAAAAGTCCATATGGTTTTTTTTCCATAAAATAAAAGACACATTTTTAATTTCACCAACAACTTTATTGATTTAGATATTTTAAGTATGTTGGCTATCTCCTGCTATTGGCTCCTAGTGGGTAGAGACCAGGGGTGCCGCCAAACATCTATCTTCCCATGCATAAGACAAGAAGCATTCGGCCAAAATGCCAATAGTAACAAAAAATTTCACAAACTACTTTTGACACACTGGATCAGCCACAGCACTTTCTCCATTCACTGCACATGTCTTGTGAGTGTGTGTGTGTGTGTGTGTGTGTTTCAGTTGCATTTTTACCTTTCTTGAAATAATAAGGCACAATATGCTGAAAATGTTGCATATCTTTCTTGTATCTTCAATACTAAAATGGCTGCCCCAAAAATTCACCAATTTTGGCTCTGGCTGGTGTAGCTCAGTGGATTGAGTGCCAGCCTATGAACTAAGGAGTCACCAGTTCAATTTCCAGTCAGGGCACATGCCTGAGCTGCAGACCAGGTCCCCAGCTGGGGGTGCATGAGAGGCAGCCACACATTGATGTTTCTCTCCCTCTCCTTCTCCCTCCCTTCACCCTCTCTAAAAATAATGATAATAAATATATATTTTACCAATTTTGATAATTGGTGTGATTTTTAAATGCACGCTGATATGACAGATGTCACAATACAATCTAACAAATATGTTCTGAATGAAGTTAAAGACAACTAAGCCATCATACAGAAAAACTAAACTTTTTTGAATTGTTTCTAGAGAGCCCGTAGTTTGACTCTTCCTTCTTAGCCAGCCCCTATGCACGTCCCTAACTTACATTCAAGAAAACTGGCTCATTCAACTTACCCAAGACCCTGTAGCAAGTTAAAGACAGAAATGAAAGGTTCTTCGGCATGAGCTCTGTGATAACCAAACAACATAACAACCTGCAATTAAAGGAACGTTTGGAGCTTGCAGACTGTTTTCATCCATCTTGACTCACTTGATCTTTACCTACTCTGAGGTAGACGGTAGGTGTGTATCTTCACACCCATTTATTGATGAGAGAAGAGTGAGGCGCACTGAGCTAGTACAGTACCTGGAAACCGCCAACACTGAAAACACTGACTTCCCAATCCTAGACTAGGAAGACAAACTTCCCTGACACCACGCTACCAGATTATAAATGACACATGAAAATGGGATCTAAAAATATATAGCTACAACCCGTACTCCCCTTAAAAAAGGATCTCCTACTGGAGAGACCTCTCTTCTCAACATCACAACATACGAAAAATAGACCAGCTTTAAAAAAAAAAAAGAAAAACCTTACCCTGCCCCGATCAGAGTTCCTAAAATACAAACTTGAAAACATAAAAAGGAATGAATGGCTTGAGCAAAGGAAGCTACTTTCCACTCCCTTCACTCCAAGCCAAGAAATGGCCTTAGTAGCTGTTGGGTTAATGTCATCCACAACACAAGAATAAGAATATACACTTATTCCTCATAAATAATTGCTGCAACCGTAAAATGAAAATAAAACAAACAAAAAAAAAACCCAGCTCACCCAAATCACGGCTGTGATTAGGCAGGAAGCCTTAGAACAAAGCAGTCCAGGACATATAAGCACCTGAACGGTCACCTGGGCTGAGAACTGAGGTCTCCTGGAGACATTCCATGTAACTTAATCGTGCGGCTCTACCCAATACCCTGGTGAGCCACTGTCTTGGCAAGCTTTCCAAAGACCCCGCTGTAGGAAATGCAGGTCTATGACAATCAAGTCTCCTCCAGGCACAGATGACTGAAGTCATGATCTGCACAGAAAATGAGCTACATGCCTATCAGAAGACATCTCAAACTGGCTTCCACAGTTTCAAATTAATTATTTGAAAATCTAGGACAAAACTACGTAATGAAATTTCTATAGTCTCAGAGTCTAAGAAAGAAGGGGCACAAATGGGATATGATAAGAAAATTGAGTATCTTTCATTTATCATCAGAGTATTACAAGAAACCTTGGGTAACAGCATATGTTTTTACTAAAAGTATGCTCTAGTTTAATCAAGAGGAAATGTGTGAGGCTTTTAGCACCAATTAGTTTCATTTAGTGCTGCTTAACTTTCTATTCTAAACTAACACTAGTTTAGAGAGCCGCTTGTTGTGTGTGACTGCTAACCACTGGCCTAGAGAGACACGTCCTATATGTGCGCACACAAATCCCCAGAAGGAAAAGAACATGGAACCATGATTACACATCTGTCAACCACATCAGATTCTCCTCAAACAAGGATTCACACAGGTACTATTGGAAGACCTGAATTCTGAGAACTTTTCAATCTTCGATTGTAAGTTGCATGAAACTACACCCAGAATCTGACCACTACTCAACTACCACCCCGGGGTCAGAACCACCATCATCTCCTGTGTGGACAATGCACAATGCCTCCTAATTTGGCTCCCATCCAGTCTCCCCCTTGCTTCTACTCTAGAAGACCATTTTCAGTCCAGCAGCCACAGGGTTCTTAAAACATGAGAGCATGTTACTCCTGCTCAAAACTTGTCTTAACTCCCCAACTCAGAGTATAAGCAAAGGTCCTATGACATCCCCCAAGTCCCTGTGTGACCTGGCCCCTGTTACCTTTCTGACCTCATTCTGAACCATACTCCCCTCTTTGCTCACACTCTACTCCAGCCGTACTGTCCTCAGTCCCCTTTGCAGTTTCTCCAGTATGCCAGTTGGGTGTTCTCAAGTTTCAGGGCCTTCACACTGTCTGTTCCCTCTGCCTGGATTGCTCTTCCTCATGGTACCCACATGGGCAACTCCATAAGCACCTGAAGTCTTTGCTCAAATTTCACATTCTCAATGAAAAATTCTGATGACCCTATTGAAAACTGGAACTGCTCACCCTGACACTTCATCCCCAGCACTCCAACCTCCCAACAATCCACTTATCACCGAAAACGCCATGTAATTTACTTACAACATGTACTGTCTCTTTCCCCTACCACAACGTAAGGGCCGTGAGACCAGGGATCTTTATTTTGTTCAGATGAGTGTCAAGCACACACAGCTGTACCTGGCACATAGCACACAGCACACATAGGCGCTCAATATTGTTATTGTCAAAAGAATAAATAAGTGAATGATAACCTGCTTGAATACTTAACATAATAAGCACATTCTAAATCACTACCCCATGACTCTGGAGTCTGTATTTCCAACTGCCTTATTAAATTAACTCAACAAGGAGGTCGTGAGACTGAGGTGGCTCCAATGTTGGTGGCACCTACATAAACGAATCAATCTGAACTTCTAAATGCCTCAAGGCTTTAACGGCAAAACCTAAGGTTAGCAAATTACAAACAGCCAGCTAGTGTTTATGCTATAAATGATGGATAATTTCCTTACTGTGCTTCCACCTTTCCTCTATAATGGTTTTTCCCCAGCCCCCAGCAACAGAGTGGTCCTAACCACTTTGGTTTAGTGCTGCCCAACTGAAATCAACTCCTGTTAAATAAATTTCTAAAATTTTAATATGTCTCAGTTTTCCTTTCAACACTTCTGATGTCAGAACTGGGACCCACAGGAGACCCCCCCGATGGCACCCATGAACCAGGAGCAGCCAGGTAAGATTGCCCACAGCACCCAACGGGCTCACTGCTTTCTCCCTGCATCTGGAGCACCAGGTATCTAATTTGGAGCACCAAATTTTTACATTTAAACAAGCTCTTCAAATTTATCTGAGCTTTTCTTTCTTCAATCTGGGTCTCTGAGGTCAGCTCACCTAAAAGAAATTGGACTGTGTCCAACCTAGAACACAAACTGGTTCTGAGGTCAGACTGGATCCGACTTAATTTAAGCTGGCCTGGGCCCAGTGCACGGCCTCAAGTAACAAAAAGGTGAAAAAGAGAAAAATGATTCCTCTCACTCCAAACGATCTGGGACTCCTTCATCTGGGACCGCTGGTAACAATATGTACAAAAATTACAGACCCAGAAATGGTTTTTTCCTGAACCAGTGGGTTAACCTTACCAAAGATAATTCTGAATTACAGTGGCCAAGTGGGGAACTTTTAACCTAGATAGGCTTATCGATTTCCGAGGTACTCTAGGGAAAAAAGGATCAAATTTCCCCAAAACAACGGGATATGTTTTTATTGGCATACAGAAGCTTCTAAGGAACTAAATGAATAAAAAAAAAATGCCTCTCTAAAACAGTCTTTACAAAAGGCAAATGAAAGCTTAAACAACAAGCTAATGGTGAATCTAAAAAAAAAAAGTGTACACTGACTAAACTCGACCCCGATAGCTGGGACTGCTCCTTCCCTTTTCCCTCCTCTTCTAAAATATTCTGAACCTACTAATACCTGGACTCAACTGTTTTTCACTATGAAAATGAGCTAGAGGTGTGTTTTTTTTAATGCCTTTTAAAGGAAGGCCCCCCGCTGAGCCTGGACCACCAGATGTAACCTCAATATCGCCACGGTCAAAGGCTGAACCCAGGGCCATTAATGATTTTCCAAATCCTAAAGAGGAATTTAGAATTCAAATTGGAATTTACGAGCTAAGACTCCCAGATCTCTATGAATTTATTCATGTGACATGAGGACCTGACAATGCCCCCAAATGGATGGCTCTCCCAATG